TTTGATATAAAGATTCATAATGCAGGAATTACTAACGCATGAATTAGTAAAACATGAATTAGTAATGTAGGATTTAGCATTGCAGGGATTAATTTTTATTAAGTATTTTGTTTATGTTTCTCACCTAATCTTATGTCTAGTTTAAAATCTAGGAAAAAGTTTTTTCCTATTATACCCTTGAGTTATTATGAGATTTTATATTTATTTAACTAGTCAAGTTAAATATTAAAATATAATTTTAAAAAATATTATTATTTTGAGGTGTGATATGTCACTATAGAGATCCTTGATAGAATAGTATATTTTTAATTTTTTGTTGATCAAACATATCTTAAGCTTAACATAAATTTAACACTACTTAAATTGTTCAAATACGCGAAGCTTATTATTTTTAAAAATAAATGTTCAAGCGGTCAATCGACAAACTACATCTTAGAAAAAAAATTAAAAAATCAACTCAATTTAACAAATCAAACATAGAAAAAAATATTACTTTGAAGGTCATCAAATTACATGGAATGGATTTGGAGAAGTTAAAAGAATATTTATAAATATTCTCATATAAATAAAAAGGAACATTCAATTACAAAAAAAAATAAGAATTTTTTTTAGGATAATTTAGTCATTTAGAGATCTTATCCAAGAATTATTACACCTTCAATTAGTTATCCCTCCCTTTTTAGGGATAAAATAAGACCTTGTATGAGGTATAATTAATCAATGGATAGGTTAAATAAAGTTATCAAACAAATGTTTTTATTGGACTAAATTTTAATCTATGGCTATTTTGATTAATATCTCCTACCAAACGGATCCTAAAGACAAATATGTATTTAAAAAGTATAACGCAAAATAAACACTCCGTCCGTTCTATAATAGTTGTCTACTTGTCCAACGACACTTGTCTACTTTATGAAATCAATGAACAATTTTACAGTTAAATACTTTATCATTAATTAGAATTATTTCTTTATTGAATTTTTCAAGACATTGTATTTAATTATATTTAAAGGGTAATTTAGAAAAATTATTCTCCTCTTTATAATATATTTAGATATAAGAAAGGCCTAATAATTTTTTCCATTAAATGGAATAAAATTTCCTCAACGGAACAAATAACCAAACGATCCGTTAGACTTTAGACTAGGGTTCCAAAAATAACACTCATTTTTCAAATATCTTGCTGAGTCTTTCCCGGCTGCCGCTCTGCCGCCGCCAGCTGCCGCTTGTTCATTATAGGTAAGTTTTGTCATTTATTTTCTCATAAGGAACAAATTAAATCTTCTGAAAGAACCCCAAGTATATACACGCAATAACTGAATTGAATCTAATTCGAAACGATATTTCTGCTTGTTCAAACCATGAATTCGAAGTAGTTAGAGAGGCTATAGTTGAGATGATAGTTACAGAAGAACTATCTTTTAACTTTTTAGACTGTTGTTAGACTCATTAAGTTATTATGTGATGTGATTTGGTGGTTGTTAATGCTATTGATTATGCCAAGTGACTTTACTGTTTGAGTCTTCGAGATTTAATGCTAAACATAGTATGTGAAAAGAGTCTGCTTTATGAGAAATGGTTCTTTTACCATTCAAAATCAGCTCTTTGAGGAACCGCTGCCACTGATTTAATGGACTAGTTAACCCGCTAAGCCTAGTATGTGAAAAGAGCCTGCTTTGGGTTTTATTTTATATATTTTTGGGCTTGACTATTTTCAAGGTCCCTGTTTATTATCCTGATTAGGTTGCAATCTAGTGGGGTTTTGCGAAGGTTATTTAGCGGTCCATGTTCGGAGGCAAAGGGCGTGGTGCTCTTAACTTGAATGCCTAGAGCAGGGAAATTTGGTGTACACTGATTTAAATATAGAAAAATAGTACAAAACGTAAAATCAAATGCTACAGAAAAAAAGTAGCTCTGGAGAATTTCACACTGGATTTAAAGGAGTAAAGAAACTGAACATATGTTAGCAATTGATAAATGGTATGCAACAATGAAGGTAGTCCTAAGTGGTTATTTCTATTCACTTTGGTGGTACAGGGCAGGATATATACAAGATATAGGTTGTTTAGATGGGGAGTTTCTATTGCAACTGTGTGCCTTCTATGTTTGGTAAGACGATAAAACTCTAGAGCACCTGTTTTCAAATGCCCATACTCAACTAATTTATGGGCAAAGCTGTTACACTGGATGAATATACACAGGGAGGCATAGGGATGGACACAAGAACTGGAATGGGCTATCAGTCATGCTAATGGGAAGATGGCCAGTGCCCGAGGTTACTGGTAGGGGATGTTTATTCTATCTGGCTAGAAAGGAATCAAAGAGTGTTTCAAAACAAGAGAATTGTTGAAGAAGTCTGCAGGATATTACTAGAGGTGCATTGTTGAGGCTGCTGCCAAAACAAAAGTTTCCTACTGCAACACGATGTTTACCCTTAAAAACAGTGCAGACTACAGAAATGATTTTTTCTCATGTGTCGTAGAACAGGAGGTACAGATAGAGAATAGGGGGGAAGGAGGTTTAGCTGAGATACTGATGGTTTGGTGTTGGTTGTATTTGATACATATCCCATACTTGTACATTTCTGTATTTTCCAAAAAAAAGATAAAATCTAGCTGGTTAGTTGTTCAGAAAATGGTAAATTGCTGGAAGAATGTTTATAAGGTCTTTGCTCATTCTTTTTGTGTCATCTAGTTTCCTTGTGGACTTGTTGGAAATAGCAAATTCATGTAAATAAGCAGAAATAGCCCAAAATAATTGCAAAATATGAAATTATTCTTGGATTTTGTTAGCTCTATAGCTTAGAAAGAGGCTACAAATCCTTTTTATGTGAGCTTAACTGATCTATCCTTGTAAAGTTTGCATCTTCTTGATGCCTTGAATTGAATCTACTTCATCAAAAAAAAAAAATATATGAAAACTTAAACTTGTAGAAGAAGTCATTAGTTGTTCTTAAAAGCATTTATGATTGTGAATTTGTTTGTCCACACTTGATATACTTCCGTTGCCTTGCATTCTCAATTAGATGTTTTCTTATTCCTGCACTTTGGATTTATGATTATATCAGAAATCTAATTTAACGATTAACATGCAGCATATAGGAGATCATCAGTTGCTTGCCCTTGGTTCTGATATGCAGTCAAACAGCAAAGATCTGCTTCACTTGGAGACTGAAGGCTTGTCCTTGGAATCAAAACTTCTCTTTTGCACTAGTGATGGCGGATCTCAATCTCTAAATTTGAAACCTGACGACCTTCCTGATAACAAGCCTAACAAGCCTGAAATCTCTTCTGTACCGAGAAGCCAAGTTCTAACAAAGGTCAAGGATTTTTTGGGAGTATTTTTGGAAAACAATAGAAAAGTGGAGCTTGAAGCAAAGAAGAATCCTGAGAAATATGATATCGAAGCTCTTACCGGTGAAGAATCTGAATACATAGAGATGGACTTAATGTTGGGTGTTGCTGAACTTCACACACAGGAGGCTGTATCAGCTGCTGAATCTGCAATAGCAAGTTACCAACCAGTAATCGATCTGGATACCAATGATACGACAGAATCTGAAGACACTAGCGATGAGGATGACATTGAGGATACCAACAAAAGTGATGATGATGATGATGATGATGATGATGGAGGTTCTTCTCTAGGAAAAGAATCTAAGCTTACAGAAAAGGATTCTCCTAAGAAAGCATTGAAGAGGAAGCGACAGCCTGTAAATCGAGCTAACATAGTTGAGCTCTCTTAGCGCTAAGGACATTAATTGTAGCTTATTTTTGGTGAGAAATTCAGAACATAGTTATAAGCGTGCTTCTCTTCCATGTTCCTATAAAACTTGTTTTAGTTCTACTCTTTATTAATCAAGTGTAATGCAAAGAATACAAATCAAGTCCGTTTCTAAGGGGAAAGATGTCCGTTCCAAAAAAAAAAGGTTTCGTTTCTCAAAATTCTCTCCTATTTGCAACTCACTCTTGCAAATACCAACCAAAAGAAAAGAAAATATCTTCCTCCTTTCTTGTTTCTTGAGTCATGTTTTAACAATTGATTTTGGGCAATCTCTTAACTTTCAGCCATGAATGGACATGTTTAAAAGCAACTGTGAAAGGAGCGACAACAGGATATGGGACACCCAAAAGTTGACTAGTTCTGAGTTAGGAGATTTTCCTTTGGATTGTTACAGAGCTCGATGAACGATTCAAAAATAATTTGCATGTTTATGGAGTCGAAATTGTTTACAAGACAATGGTTTACTATGATATAATATTTATAATATGTTATTTATTCACTATTTATAATTTTTGTCCAGTATCAATATTATAGTATTTTTATAACATCTTTATCTCTATTTATTTATGAAAAAAAATGAGATTTATAGGATCTAACTCATGCGGTAATTAATTTCATTTATCAAAAATTTAAATTGCATATTCAATTAAATTTTATTTAAAAAATACATAATTTCTAATTATAATTTTACATTACATATGGTGAGTTAAATTTGATATGACAAACTTAAAAAGGACAGTCAAAAGGTTAGATTTGTCATTTAGTTGAAAGTGATTACACAAATACCCCACTTGTCCGTAATTACTTGTCATTTAACCTAACATGAAAAAAATATATCAAACAAGATATTAATATATAAAATTTATTATACTTTTTTTGTTCACTGTTAATTGTCATATTTTTCATTTTCATTTTGAGTTAAAATATAAAATTTTGACTAACATTTTAGAACATATTTTTTCATAAAATTAATATGTAAAAATTTGCAATGTATAATACTTTTTCATATAGTTTTTGTATATTTAAATTTTTTGTTCAACAGATCGGATATCTAATTTACTTTTGAAAGTAAGATAAAAATTAACTAACCAACATGATAAATAAAAATAAACAAAGAAAAAATATACATTATTTTTGCCAATACACTCGTCCAAACGATTTAATAGTTATGAAAATTTGCTTGACTTGAGAATATGTTGTAGGTTTTTATAGTGAAAAAGGATTAAGAAGGGTCAGGCTAAGCAAAATAATTGAAAATAGGAATATACTCTCTCTACTGTCTTGGTGCTGCTTTCCCATTTTTGTCAAAAGGGCAGAAGAAGAAGAAATGGGATGCTTCCTTTGTTCTGTAAAATCAAAGAAGAAGCAATTTGGAAAGTTTTCTGCTCATCAGATCTCATCCTCAGTATGTGCTGTTAAATCACTTTGCCTTTTGTCTTTGAGTTTTCATGGCAAAAATAGCTTACGTCATTGTAAATGGTCCTTTTTTTTGTGACTTGTGTGCCATGTTCCATTTCCCTTTGTTGAGCTTGGGATTTTAAACTTTAACTTATTCACATACTTCCATATAAATAATATGTTTAGTTAAATTCAAGTGTCTCTAGTTTTTGATGCTTCTCCACTATTTTGCTGTCATAAGGCCTCCCTCTCTCTCCAGACCCCACTTATGAGATTACTTTGGCTATACTATTGTTGTTGTTAGCTTTCTCAGCATGGAACTTGCAATCCTTCAGTGATGTTGCTCAAGGTTTCTTTTGAAGTTTTCTATGCAAGATGAGATTGATGAAAATGGATAATACGTTGTTGAAGTGTGTAACCATCTCTCTAAAAACTTACATTGTTAGAAATTGTTTGGAGCTATTGTCTCATATGAAATTGGATAGCACATTGTTGAAGTGTGTAACCATCTCAAGCTAAAAACTTAAGTTGTTAGAAATTGTTTGGAGCTATTGTCTCCTATGAAATTGGATAACACATTGTTAAAGTGTGTAATCATCTCATCTAAAAGATTAAGTCATTACAAATAGTATACTTGTATTAGTTGATTTTATTCTCTACACGCCCCTCATGTTCGGACTTGACTCTTTTTACTGGTCCAAGGACATGATTTTTTTTATTTGGGTGGCGGTGAGATTCAATCTCAGATTATTTGCCTACTCTAATACTATATTGAAGTATGTAATCATCTCATCTAACAATTTAAGTTGGTAGAGAGAGTACTCTTTTATTAGTTAATTGTATTCTCAAACACATGTCAAGACTAGGGCCAGTTCTTCTAGAATGAAGTGAATCATGTTTCTCAAGTACCGTTAACATTGGGATTTTTCAGTTTTGGGTTGCTACATTTGTCAAATTAGTGAGAAATCTAGTACCATTGCACCTGCTATATTTAGTTATTTACTACTCCGAAAGTTTTTTTACTGTCTGCACATGTTGATGAACAACATTCTATTGCTGCTAACACACATTTCACTTTTATGCATGAATGCAAAAATCACCCCACCTCTGTTTGTTTTGTTTTCTTCTCCTGAAGCTTATGAATGAAGCCATTTCTGTGGACATTGCTTGGAGGTTACATTGGCCTACCATACATTCCAGTTCAGAAAAACTAACAATTTTTCCTTTCATGTTTCAGAAAAAATCAAGGTAAATACTTCACTGGGTGAAAAGGACAGCTCCAGAAATGGTTAATCTGGACACATAGCGGCACATACGTTTACATTTCGTGAATTAGCTGCTGCAACCAAATATTTTAGGGCAGATTGTCTCTTGGGAGAGGGAGGCTTTGGTAGCGTATATAAAGGGCGATTAGAGAGAACTAATCAGGTTGGTCTATCTCATAAATTTAAGTCTTGAATTGAAAATAAAATGGTGACTTGCTTTTTATGATCAATGTGTTCAAACACTTTTTGTTCTTATTAGTTAATTTTGAGTAAGCATTCTCTCCATTTCATGCTGTACTGTTTCTTGATTTCTTCCTCTCAGAGAGGAAAGTGCAAAGTCTTTTGGAATAGTGAAATAATTTAGAAGACAGCAATTTGTTGATTACTCATTTGCTGCATGGATCTCTCTGTATGTACAGTTGGTTTTAATCTTCTGGTTTTAATTTGGGGTGATGGTGCAAGGTTTTGTCTTTAAAATCTGATTTCAACTACAGTTTAGCTCAACTTTGTGAAACCAGTCACTCCGACAATCTAAAGATAGCTAATCTCTTTTCAGGTTCTTGATTTAGAGCTAGAGCCTTCTAATTTTTCTCATCTATCGGTAGACTACAAAGAAACTTTAGTAAAACAGAAACCAAGACACCCTCATCAAAGCTCTGCACAAATAAAAGATTTTAAATGATCATAATGCAATTCCACCTCAAGGTTTTTCCCAGTCTCCTGTTATCATCTGATTGTCCTTAAAATACAGGTTAAGGAGAAGTCACTCAAGTATAGACCCTTTTGTTCATTAAATAGAAGCAATTTTAAAGAAGAAATAAGAATCAGCTTGGTCACAGCGACCGTGAAGAAGACCATAGTATGGACTTGACTTATGCTAACAAACACCATGCTGCTGTATCTGCTAAAGCCCCTTAACTGCTTCCAGGGTTAAGTCTAAAGAGATAATACAGGCGAATCTGCTTCCTTTTTTGGTTGCCTTCTGCGCTAACTCCACCAGCCCCCACCCTTTAAAATCTTGAACAAGTTCAACTATTGAAAAGTTTCTTATTATTGATTCCACTTTTTTTAATGGAGCATAGCTGTTTTGTGGAGGTGGAAACCCTTTAAAATCTTGAACAAGTTCAACTATTGAAAAGTTTCTTATTATTGATTCCACTTTTTTTAATGGAGCATAGTTGTTTTGTGGAGGTGGAAATGAGTATTATTGCTGAAGAGCTTCCTGTTGCACCAGAAGTCCTTGCAATACCCACATGCCCTTCAAAGGTAGATTGCTTTAGCTGGCTGGTATGCAGAAAGGCTTGCCTGACTCATGAGGCTTTGCAGAAAAGGGGATGGCAATTTTGCTCAAGATCTGTCATGTGTGAGCAGGAAGCAGAAGTTAATGATCATTTATTTCTTCATTGTAAGGCAGCTATGAGCCTATGGAACATATTTTTTTATTTGTTAGGAGTCAAGTAGGTGATGCCCAGTACAACAAAGGAACCCCTAAACAATTGGAATGGTATTGGTAACAGAGGAAGAAAAGAGTACAGAAAAGAGCACTGGTGGAGAACTATCCCAGCATCATCTGGTGGACTCTTTGGAAAGAAAGGAATTCAAGGTGTTTTGATGGACAGAAGACTAATCTACAGAAGATTAGAATGAATTGTATAAGCCTTCTTTTTTTTTGGTTTAAACAAAATCTGATAAGAGGAGAGAGTAGATTTTATAGGAAACTTGTAAAGAATACCCTTAGGATGTGGGATGTAAATTTCCAATTCATTATTTTTTGGTGTGAATATAAAGTTGCCATTTTCTAAAAAGAAAAGGAGTCCTTGCAATACCTGATACTGCAAACATCACCGAAATGTAATGGTGAAAGGTGCACTATCCCATCCCCGATGACTTCGAGGACGAGAAACCTTAATGATTGCATCTTAATATTTAGCCTCCTGTGGTTTATACCTTTATAATGTTGTGCCGTAACGCCTTGTTTCCATGTTCCTCGACCGATGGTACTATGACTGAACAGATTCAGATTCATCACCTGCATTGTCGTCTTCTCATTTTATATTCTGCAACATTTTGGCTCTTATGATGCTGTTAGCGAGAATTCTTTTATCCATCGGAGAAGTTGTAGACGCACAACTTGAGTCTGACATATTAGTTTTGCCACCTAAAAAAAACTAATAGTTTTGCCACCTTTGAATTTTTCCTCCGTTCATAACTAACTTTTATCTATACTTCTGTGCTGTTAGCGGGGATAGATACTAGAGCTACCAGCCTCGAGAGAAAAACAAGACTCGTCCACCTAATGTGTTCCAGGTGCCACGGGGTCATTTACTGTTACTGTGCTCAACAGTAGATTACTTCTGTTTTGTCAATTGGATATTGCTCGTACTCTTTAGATTGCTTATGAGGCATGAAAATGATTTCTTATATAGGTCGTGGCCATCAAGCAACTCGACCGAAATGGATTGCAAGGAAATAGGGAATTTCTTGTTGAGGTCCTGATGTTAAGCCTACTTCACCATCCACACCTTGTCAACTTGATTGGATATTGTGCTGATGGAGATCAGAGACTTCTCGTTTACGAGTTCATGCCGTTAGGATTACTGGAAGACCATCTACATGGTATGTATAAGATAACTAATTAATTAATTCTACCATGTTCTGGATCTTGCTGTACTTGACAAAAAAATGTGTTCTTAAGATTAAAATAGCAATACCGCAACTTCTATCTTAGGTGATATAATGATATGACTACTGGAGTTCATCTGGAATTTATTTGAAGGAATTTTGGTTAGTTTGTGAAGTACTAAATAGTCCAAGGGATTAATATCAAATCTTGCTGCACCATAAAAGAAAATATTGCATAGCTTCCTTTCGATACAAATCGGTATCTGATGGGACTTTTGTTAGAAATATGCATAAGGACTGCATCAGTCCAAGTTATCTGTATTGTGGGGTAGTTATTTACTAGGGTAGTTATTTACTGTTTAGCTGTTAAATTCTATCTTATCCTTAGTTTTTTAATCTTATCCTTAGGAGTTGGTTTACTTGTAAACTCTATAAATATATGTGTTATAATGAAGTTTTTTAGTTTTGCTTTCATAAATTTTTTCTTCACTAATGTTCCTACTTGTTCAATAACAAAAGAAGATCATATTGTTATGTTTTTCCTTCTATGAAAACTAACAATTGGTATCAGAACATTTATTTCTTGATGGATCCGTGGGCGTTTTGATTGTAATCAACAAGACAAGTTTATCAATCGTGGAAGTAGAGAATCAAGTTTTTCCGTAATGGCACCACCTGTTTTTAATGGTTGTAACTATCATATTTGGGCAGTAAGGATGGAAACATATCTAGATGCCATGGATATGTGGGAGGCAGTCGAAGAAGATTATGAAGTTCCTCTATTGCCTAACAATCCTACTATGCCCCAGATCAAAAACCATAAAGACAGGAAAACCAAAAATCAAAGGCAATTTATTTTCAGCAGTATCTTCTTCAATCTTCATTCGAATTATGTCTCTAAAGTCAGCAAAAGCCATATGGGATTATCTCAAGGCAGAATACGAAGGGGATGAAAGGATCATAGGTATGCAAGTGCTAAATTTTATAAGAGATTTCTAGATGCAGAAGATGAAAGAAACTGAAACCATCAAAGATTACTTTGAAAGGCTCTTGAACATAGCAAACAGGGTAAGATTGCTTGGTTCCGTGTTTAATGATAAACGTATTGTTAAAAAGATTTTGGTAACTGTGCTGGAAAGATTTGAAGCAACCATAACTACTTTGGAAAACACAAAGGATCTGTCCAAGATCACCTTCGCAGAGTTATTGAATGCTTTGCAAGCAAAAGAACAACGAAGAGTCATGAGAGAAGAAGGAAATACAGAGGGAGCATTGTTTGCCAAGCCTCAAGATGGAGGCAAAAACAAAAAGAAGAAGAACAAGAAGAATGGCGAAGGCATTTCAACAAGTACTACCAAAGGAAAAACTTGACTCTCAAAGAAAAGTTATCCTCCTTGTAAGCATTATGTAACAAGAAAGGTCATCCACCATATAAATGTTGGAGAAGGCCTGATGCTAAATGTAGTAAATGCAATCAATTTGGGCATGAAGCTGTCATTTGCAAGAACAATGGTCAGCAACAAGAAGTAGAGGCTAAAATTGTTGAAGGTGAGGAGTAAGATCAACTCTTTGTTGCTACATGTTTTTCAAGTAGATCATCTAGTGAGTGTTGGCTGATTGATAGTGGATGCACTAATCATATGACAAATGACATGTCTCTCTTCAAGGAATTGAAGCCCACAACCATTACTAAATTCAGAATAGGTAATGACGACCATCTTCCTGTAAGAGGGAAAGGAACCATTGGTATTCCAAATAATTTAGGTACTAAAACAATTTCTGATGTGCTTTATGTACCTGCCATAGATCAAAACTTGCTTAGTGTTGGTCAATTGATGGAAAAAGGCTACGAGTTAAATTTTGAAGATAATCATTGCTTGATCAAGGATGCTTCATATCAAGAAATGTTTTAAAGTAAGATTGAGAGGCAAAAGTTTCTCATTAGATCCATTTGAGGAAAAGCATGTTGTTTTTACAACAAAAGAAAGTGTTGCAGAAGTTTGGCACAAGAGACTCGGACACTATCACTATGAAGGGTTGGTTAAAATGCAAAAAATGAAAATAGTTAAGGATTTGCCTATTTTAGAAGTACATTCTTCAAATTGTCTTGCGTGTCAATATGGAAAACAAAGCAGACTACCATTTCCAAAGACAACTTGGAGAGCCTCGAACAAATTGCAACGAATTCATACTGATATAGCAGGACCTCAAAGGACTCCTTCACTAAAAGGTAGTCTTTGCTATATCATTTTTGTAGATGATCTAACCCGCATGTGCTGGATTTATTATCTCAAGCATCAGTCAGAGGCTTCTAATGTTTTTCAGAAGTTCAAAGCAAAAGTAGAAAATGAAGCCAACTGTAAAATTCAGTCTGTAAGAACAGATAATGGAAAGGAATACACTTCTTACCAGTTCGACATGTTATGTGAGGAAGCAGGGATTCATCATTAGCTTCCTACTCCCTATACTCCACAACAAAATGGAGTAAGCGAGAGAAGAAACAGATACATTATGGAGATGACTAGATGCATGTTGCACGAGGAGAACTTGCCAAATTTTTTTTGGGCAGAGGCAGAAAATACATCAGTTTTTCTTCAAAATAGGCTTCCCATAAAGGCAGTGAAAGACCGAACTCCATTTGAAGCTTGGTATGGATTTAAACCATCGCTAAATTTTCTTAAAGTGTTTGGTTGTCTCTGTTTTTCCTACATTCCTCAGGTTAAACGAGATAAACAATATAAAAAATCTGTCCCAGACATTTTTATTGGATATAGTTTAGTTTCAAAGGCATATAAAATCTTTCAACCACAAACTGAAAATATAATCTTTAGTAGAGATGTGAATTTTATAGAGAATGAAGACTGGTGTGGAAAGACTCGAAGAGATTTGTCCTTAACACGTCTGACAAAGCAGAAAAGTCTCCTACCAAGTTTTTTGAGAAGAAAATATCACTCTCACGGCAGGATGAAATGGTGGATCATTTACCAGTCAAAGGTACTCGACAACTCAGAGATATATACCAGAGATGCAATGTAGCAGTATGTGAACCTGCTGGGTACAATGAATCCAAAAATGATGAAAATGGGTTGCTGCAATGAAAGAAGAGTTGTTTATGATTGAGAAAAACATGATTTGGGAGCTTCTTGATCAACTTGAAGACAGAAAGATAATTGGGTTGAAATTGGTCTTTAGAACCAAGCTAAATGTAGATGATTCAGTGAATAAGCATAAAACAAGACTTGTAGTTAAGGCGTATGCTCAAATTTTTGGTGTGGATTATTTTGATACATTTGCACCAGTAGCTAGGCTTGACACGATCATGTTACTTCTTGCTCTTGTTGCATAGTTGGGTTGGAAAGTGTATCAGATGGATGTCAAATCAGCATTCCTTAATGGCTTTCTACAGGAAGAAATTTATGTTGAGCAACCTGGAGGCTTTGTGAAGAAAGGAAATGAGGACAAAGTTTATAGGTTAAGAAAGACACTTTATGGACTTAAACAGGCACCAAGGGCCTGGTATGGTCGAATAGATCGCCATTTACTTGGCTTAGGCTTTGAAAAGAGTATTAGAATCTACTCTTTATGTTAAACATCATGGCATTGATATTCTTGTTGTGTCTATATATGTGGATGATGCACTAATTACAGGAAGCAATACAAGGGCATATCGAGGATTTCAAGCAAGAAATGATGCAAGCCTTTGAGATGACTGATCTTGGTCTAATGTCTTATTTTCTTGGTGTGGAAATCAACCAGGGACAGGATGAAATTTTCATTTGCTAGAAGAAATATGCCAAGGAAATTCTCAAGAAATTCAACATGGAAGATTGCAAGGAGATGTGTTGGCTTTATGATGTCACTTGTTCTGACAGTGGTGGAACAACTTAGTCTGTGTAGTTTATGTGTCTTTTCTTTAATCTTCAACTAGTTGGTGCATGCTTATTATGTTGCACGACCAATCTGTTGCGGTTTTTATTATGTGCAAGGTTTCTCAATTATTTTCCCTGTCTTCTTTCTGAATCAACCACTCAAATGCTCATTAGGACTTGAATATATTCTGTTGTCCTTTGGGTTCTGGGCATTTAATGGTGCTCTCTGCTACATCTCTAGTTGGTCTTCAAGTTATTACATCACATTTATATATATCTTCTTTTTTATCTCATGATAAGGTAAATATTTTTATAAAATGTTGGGAACAATTCTAGTATACAAGTAGCATACCTAAAACTAGAGAATGTACAAAAGATATGATACTCTATGAAATACAACCAATCTTCTACACAAATTAGAACCTTTCGGCTGCAATGTTGTCAGTGTCATTTAGTATCAAGTCATCAACCTAGTCCATATCTTTATTCAAATAGTTGTACTTTCGAGTGCCTTGTCCAGTTAGTTGCTTCTCGGATAGTCTCATGTGTGTTTATTGTATTCGGTATACCAACCTGCACCTACCTGCTTAGTTTTATCCAGTTCCTTGCTTCACTTCTAGATTGTTTGCATTTCAAACTAAATCCTGTTATATAGTTCGCTGCCCAATGAGTAAGAGTTTCATAGCTCTTGGTTTGTCAAGCTACTTATGGGTAAGAAATTTATACCTTAGAGCTACATTTCAAAATTTGCAGGCTCGACCATTGTTCAAAGACCGTAGAAAGTTCTCACAAATGGCTGATCTAGAGCTTCAAGGTCAGTATCCAGTTAGAGGCTTGTATCAAGCTCTTGCAGTAGCTGCAATGTGTGTCCAGGAGCAGCCCAACATGTGCCCTCTAATAGCAGACGTGGTTACAGCCCTTAACTATCTTGCCTCCCAGAAGTACGACTCTTGAACTCAGCCAGTCCAAAGGCATCACACAGGTCCGTCAACTCCGAGAACAAGAAGGGACTTATGATTGTTGCAGTGGATGGTAATTAGCAGACATTGGAATTTGACGAGTACATGGTTGTTCTCAGCAAAATATGCCACTTTGCTTTAATTTTCTCTTGGGAATTCTTTTAGGTACCCTTTTCTTTTTTCTCATTTTACTTTGTAGATAATGTAAATTAGAGAGCCAATTGGCAGTTGGACAGTAGTGATGAAAACTTGTTTGTAGAGTCCTCTCATATGATAATATTATTGTATTATGAAAAAAATTAAAAAGCAGGAAAAACACTGGTATTGCTTATTTTAGTGTGTTTTGCTAATTTCTGCAAGAGGAGTTATTCATTTAAAGGATTTGCCAACTCACTACACAACCAAATCGTATGTCACCGTCTTATTATCAATTTCTTACCTTTGCCAACTACAATTGATAAAAACATTCTACTATTCTATTCTTTTGCTCAAAATAGAAAATTTTTCTTCTACTTCGACATAGGAATGGCAATACGGCGGGGTAGATGCAGGACGGTTTTAAGGCTATGTAGGGTGGGGCGATTTAAGGTTTTGCGCGGCAGTTTGGAGTGTGTTTTTCAAAAACTAATGCGGGTCGGGGCAAGTTGCGACTTCAAACTCAATTTTAACTTTTTTACATGAGTGATAAAACATTATTTATCAAGATAAATCCACTAAAATATTCAAGATAGTAATAAAAATGATTAATTAAACTAATACAATTTCTTACGTGCTTCCCAAATAAGCTCTAAATAAAAAATTTGGTTCCTTTTTCTTAAGACCCTATTCCTTCAATCATGAGATAGAAAGATTGAGCAAGTATTCTTTTTCACGTCATTTGGTTTGAAGAATACAAAGTAGGAAAAATTACACAAATAAGCAAATATGTAGTATGTATTTACGATAAATCACTGTTATTCAAATAATTATAATTCATAGTTTTAAGTATGGTTTTATAACAAATTTCTCTCCCTCTCTCCCTTGACTCTCCTCTCACTGCCCCCTCTCTTGCCCTTGCCAATAAGAAGAAATTCATTCAAATGTATTATGTATCAATTAGATTATTTTGGAAAAATGTACAAGTACCTCTCTAGACTATGACCGAACTCCTAGAGACACCTTAACTAAGGTTCTATTACTCCATGAACTTTTTTTTAATACATCTTTTGTCTTACGTGACAGTTTTTTCCAAACTACTCACTTAGCTTCATACTAGAGATGCATGGCCCACGCTAATATTTAATATTTCACATTTTTATGTGATGGATACTTTCTAACACATGATTAAGTTGAAAGGAAAAACATAAAGCCAGCACTGCCACAGTAATGTAAAAGTACATTGAGTAAGTATTTAAGTTAGAATGTCTTGGTAGGCAATAATAGGCATTCCACATATGCAAAACAAAATTACACAAGTAGTACCTATTAAAACTAAGCTTATCCAATCAGATTCAACAGAAACACCTTGATTGTTCAATCTCTTGAACAAAAAGCGGAAATTGATAAATGAAATTGTAGCAGAAGTACAAAGGCATACACCTTTTTTCTCATACAAATCAGATTTTAATCTGGTAATAATTAATTGGATCTTCTCTAACAAAGAAACATGAAACTAAAGTGAGGTGACACAATCACTCTCAAAAGGAAACATGGAGATGCCAATTATTCTTGAATTTCTCATCAGATGTCTTTTTTTGTTAAAAATATCTAGTGAAGTGGCAGATGTCGAGAAGAGTCAGTTGCATTCTGTCCTAGTTGATAAATTCAATTTGTTGTAATGTCATAAATGAATCATATGTCATGACTTGATAATAACATAACAGAGAAATTCCTGTAAAAGCAAAACAATAAATTACAAAATCATAAAACATTACACATATCATGCATCATACTATTAAATTTTTGCTTCCATCATCTCATAATCATTCATGTACTATTATTTCTTACTCTATCATGACATAGATCTAGAAAATTTTACAATGTCACCTACAACGTATAAACTTCAGAAGTGTAACTTTTACTATTTGGTCCTAGAACATATAAACTATGCAAAGAGCACAAAATAAACACCAAACAAAATAAAAATCATATTTGTAGCAAAAGTATACTCACGGCAGAGCTTCTTATTGTAAGCTTAAAAGGAGTTGAATTAGTTTAACGATAGTATAGGTTGTATGTAAATTTGTACAAGAAATGTGTCATCACTCCTACAGAGGTAAAAACTATTAAATCATCATAATAAGAATATTGGCAACACCAATTGTACATGATAGATACTTATCTTTGCAGCAAAAAAAATTATCTTGGATAATATTTCTTCTTTTGAAAGCAGTAGAAAATTTAATCGACTTGTTGCACGCTAAAGTCGACTGCCTGACTCAATAGGAAAGCTAGAAATTTCCATATCCTCTTTTCCTTCTTAGTAGTTAAGTCATGCATACAATCATAAATTCAAAGCTGAATCAATATTTGAAATCCTTTTCCGTACGATTTTAAAAAATAAAAGGTCTCATATTATGTTGATACCTACTATGTTCCATGAAATAGTTGAATGAAGAATCTTATTATATGGAGAGGGAATAAATATCGTACTTTGAAAATTTCCAACCAATAGGCAGGGAGTCAATTTAGTCGTCCAGTCTATACATAATAATATACAGGTAAGGAGAAGAACTAAAGTAGCAAACTTACCAGTAAAGGGTGTAGCAATCAAACTACTCTTTTTCCTGTTCCTAAGGTGACACCACCAGTTATAATGTTGAGCAGCTGAAAAGATTTCGAGATATTGCTAGAAAAAAATAATTTCAAAGGTCTACACTTACTTCAAGAATTCCATCGCTTTCATCGTCCCTATGTTCCCCCCGTGTGGCGACATGGGGGCGAAAAAAGGAAAGAGAGGGATGGGGTTTCTCTCGCTTTTGACCGGGTGCCTCATTGCCATCACTGTGATTCAAGATTTGATATGGCTTGATAAAAATTTCATCATGTTCTATTAAACCATGAAACTTGTAGCCAATACATTTGTTAGAAACATGTGATAGAAGGTATCCAATTTGAGAAGAGATGGGGAGAAACAAACATCAAATAATCGAAGAAATCTAAGGCAATTATGTTGGCATTGCCAAAGAAGGCTTCAAACAAAATATAATAAATGTCTTAGAAAACACAAATGTATCGGGGAGATGCTTAAGAAAACTACATACTCCAGAGGTGTTTTCATCAACATATTCTTTCCTCTATGTTAATGCTACTACATTTTTCACATCAACTCCATGAAAATTTAAATGACTTTAAATACAATTATGGATGAATGATTTGTAGAATTAAAAGCAGAGCATATCATATCACCTATCAATGTGAAAATACTGAATCAAGGTGAATAAAAACATATTAAATGTAAGATTTGTATCACCATAGAACACATAAATGACCAACTATATCCAATTATGTCTTTCTGTTCTAGGGAACATGAACCTAACCCGGAAACTTGAGGGTAGAACTTCCTCAGAGGACAAACAACATGGAAACTTCACCGATCTTACACAACAATTCCGGACTTAGATGATAGTAATTTTTCTTTTTACCTTTTCTTCCCTCATTTATATTTTCAACAATTGGAACATTTCAGGAGTTAATTGGGTCAATTAGAAAAGTTGCCAAGAATATGCTTAAAGATTCAAGCTTTTGAAGAGTTACATTTTTTTCCTCTTTTTGGGTTACCACGTTTCCACAGATTAGAAATAGCATGTCAAATTTTATCACAATAATTTCTTCCTCTTCCTTAAAAAGCACTCAGATATCCAAAAAAAAATTATCTCGACTATCATCATCATCATTTTATAAATTCATTCTTTCAATCCTTAGGCCTATTGATACTCATCAAAATAACCAAAGTTATGATTCATCTCTAAATTAGAGCAAGTTTATAAAATTCCCCCTATGCTTTATGCCTCTTTTACCTTCAAATAAATATCATAGCAATTATTAATACATATACTTACAAAAAAAAAACTGCTCCATCCGGTACAATTTATTTGTCTTACTTTCCTTTTAGTCCAAAAAGAATGTCTCTTTCCTTTGTTAAGCAACTCTTCAATTTCAATTTTTTACTTAAAACCACAAGATTAGAGTACATTTTGGTCCAATTGACATAACTTTTAATTAGACGACAAGATTCAAAATTCTTTTATATTTTGTTGAACTTTGTGCCAAGTCAAAATAGGATAAATAAATTGAAACGCGGACAGCGAGACCGAAAAGGTGAACTATTGTTACATGTAAATAGATGTATTTTCAGCTTAGACAAACACTATTGAATACCATGTAATAGTGAAACAATTGTGACCTTTTAAGTTAGAATCTATGACATCTAATATATGATTTCGATCATCCCTATAATTTTAGCTTCAGTGTTTAGAACAAATTTTACCAACTTGTTCAAGTAATAGTTTAAGACTTTTAAGATGATTGAAGTGTATATGCATTTCTGTAAATTACTACCTAGCGATTACATTAGTGAAATTAGAGACCAATTAAAAGTCTTAGGCTCTCAAGCCATAAACTACCATCAGATATCCATTAACAGGAAATTTGATACTTTGAAAAAGTGAGAAAAACAGGGAGAAGTCATGAAGATAGTTCAGAATCTAGCCCAAAAACAGCAAAAAGGATAGATCCTGCCAACTTCCTTCAAGGCATGCAACACTCGTCATTTTCTTTGTCGAACATTCCTGTTGCAAGTAGTGCTCAATTTGTTAAAGTAAAAGTCATACATTCTATTCTACTTTTTTGGTGGACACAAAATACTTAAGATGTATACAAACTTTCAGCAAAACAAGAAGCAACCCAATTTTTTGGGGTTACTATAAACAATGAAAGTACAGTCTCACCAATACAAAGAGCTAAGACAAACACCAAGATAGAGATATACAGAAAAAAGGTGACAAAATTTGAGAGCCACAAAAGCAAAAAAGATTGTAATAGAATTATCATAATTTGATCATGGACAGAGTCGAACATGAGCAAGTATAATGTTATATACTAAAGGAAAAATTTAAAAAAAAAAAAAAACCTCTTACAATCAAATCAGAGAAGATTAAACATAGTCAAAGAATGTAATCTGTATTGAAACCGCACACCAACTTACCCTATGAGAAATGGAGATATTTTTGAATATGAAGTTTCTACATTTGATGGATCAAAACAACACCAAATTAAATTTAAATTCAGTGCATGCAACACACACAAAGACCGAATAGATCAGCAAATTGAACCAAAAAAACAAACCATTCGAATAATAAGTAGACAAAATAAGACCTAAAATCAAATCCAAAAAATAAAATCAGAAGTACCCCTTAAATGACCACAAATTCAGTACACGTGGTTTGCTTATAATTTTGAAGTACTATTCACAAAGCTTTTCGCTACAACAAATGATAGCCGTAAGACTGGTCAACGGACCGGAATCGGTTCATTGGACCGGAACAAATTGGTATCGGATTGGAACGGAACCTGTTGACCGGTATCGGAATGAATCTGACAGGAATTATCGGAATAAATAATCGGTTCCGTCTTGTTTCACTATATATTGGGATGGAACCGGAACGGACCGGGATGGAACGGGACGGGATAAGCGATATTTTTTGGGATTACCAAAATATAATTTTTATTTTTATTTTTCTAAGTATAAATTAATAGTTTTTAAATTTATACTATAATTTTTTACTTGAGTTTATTTTAAAGATATTTTATAATTTTTTTTGTTGTTGTTAAGTTTGCAAGTAAAGTTTAATAAAGTTTTCAAAATTTAAATCTTTGGAAGTTTATACTTTATAAGTTATTACTTATATTCATTAATATTTATTTTATAAGTTATATTTATAATTTGTGTCTTGTAAATATTAAATAAAATATAAAGTATGAAATATAATTTATAGAAAATATAAATATAAATTATATAAAATATAAAAAAAATTAATATATATTAATTAAAGAGGATTGGAATTGGACTGGACCGGAACCGAAACCGGGATGAACCGGTACCGGTATACCGATACGAAATCACGGTTTCATCCCATTCCGTGTACCGGTTCAGACTATCCCGTCCCGTCCCGTAGGCAATCGAAACGGGATGAACCGGAACAATACCGGTACATCCCGTTCCGTTGACCAGTCTTAGTCCAACCCTTGTTCACTTTTATATTAAATATTAAAAAAAAGAAATAAAAGGGTAATATATTAGTATTTGTTTTCATTTATTTTTTCTTTAACGCCCCTCGAGAAACATGAATAATATGTGTATTTTTACTGATTTATTTTTTATGGCTTAAATATATTTTTATCTTTATGTTCTTGATTTGTAAACATCAAAATTGATAATGAAAGAACATTTTTGGTATTTTGCAATATTTATATTTTTGAAAAAATTGAAGGGAAATATGGGGAAAATTAGAGTAATTTTACCTTAATTTTGTAAATTGACAATTAATTTGTAAAAATCGTACTATTACACATTAGTGTCACGTTATTTGTAATTACTAATATTTTCTTCCTCAAAATAAATGGTGTTTCTTTTTTTCTTTTTTTTTTTTGCTTAAAAAAATATTGTCTTATTCTATAATCAAGAACATGTTAATAATGTTCTTCCAATTTTATTGATATTTAAATAAATATAAAAGAACTATATATATTTATTTGTAAATTGACAACTAATTTAAAATAATCACATGAGTACGAATTAGAGTCACACTAATAATTACTACTATTTGCTTCATTACAAAATAAGTGGTTTTTTACTTCTACTCTTTTTATTTTAAAGTAAAATTTGTTTTACATAACAAAAAACACATTAATGTTCTTTCAATTTTACTATTTTTTGAATTATCGTAAAACAGAGCTTCATGCATTTATTTTTGTACGTCGATAACTAATGTGGAATAATGGTAAGAGTACTAATTAGTGTCACAGTATTAATTTTTATTTTTTCTTTATTTTAAAATAAATGATATTTTAACTTTTTATCTTTTGTTTGCTATAAAATAAAATTAGTTTTACATAATCAAGAACATGCTAAAAATGTTCTTCCAATTTTATCGTTATATAAATAATAATAAAAAGCTACATATATTTATCTAAAGTAAATTAGAAAAAGATTCTTCTCACTTTTTAGGAATACTTAATTTCCTCAAGAGGTGTGTTCAAGCTAAAAATATCATTTATTTTAAGATGAAGGACAACATTATACGTGGGTATCGTATTTTTAGTATACGATGTTGTGAAATAGTCGTTGTATAAATTAAAAGAAAAGAGCTACATATATTTATTTTTTAAATTAACAACTTAATTATAATAATCATAGCAGTACTTATTAGAATCACGTTATTAATTACTACTATTTCTTTCATTTTAAAATAAGTGGTGTTTTACTTCTTCTTTATTTGTATTAAAATAAATTTACATACACGATAATAATGTTCTTCCAATTTTATCATTTTTTGGATTGTTTTTTAAAAAAAAGAGCTATATGCATTTATTTTGTACACTGAAAATTAATTTAGAATAATCTTAGGAATACTAATTATTATCACGTTATTAGTTACTAACTTTTTCATTTCAAAATAAGTGGTGTTTTAACATTCTGTGTTTGTTATAAAAGTAAATTCACAATGAAGAACATGTTAATAATGTTTTTTTTCAGCTTTATCATTAATTAAATAATAAAAAAGAGCTACATGTATTTATCAAAAGTAAATTAAAAAATGCATCTCACTTTTTAGGAACAGTTAATTTCCTTAAGAGTTGTAAACAAGCTAAAAACACCACTTATTTTAAAATGAAGAGCTATTGTGCTATACTTTTTTTTAATTATTATTACTAGTTTCACAACACGTATGTTGCACATGTATATCATTTTTAAAATATGTGTTATAAAATAGTCGTTATTTAAATAAAAAGGAAGAGCCACATATATTTATTTTATAAATTGACAACAAATTTGGAATAATCAGAGAAGTACTAATTAGTGTCATGTTATTAATTACTACTATTTCCTCTATTTCAAAATAAGTGGTGTTTTACTTCTTTTTTTGTTTTAAAATAAAATTTGTTTTACATAATAATAGACACATTGATAATGTTCTTCCAATTTTATCGATTTTTTGAAAAAAGTAAATCGAACAAGAGATATATCGATTTTTTTTATGCATTGACAAATTAATTTGAAATAATCATAGAAGTACTAATTAGTGTCACGTTATTAATTACTTTTTTTTCTCAATTTCAAAATAAGTGGTGTTTTAACGTCTTATTTTATGTCTGTTATAAGATAAAATTCATTTTACATAATCAAGATGTAACATCTCGTAACTCGTAATAGCCAAGAATAAGCTAAGAAACCAAAAATTATCATTTTTGAAAAGAATAGAAAAAATCTTGAAAATTTGCCGAAGTGTAAGAAGTCAGTTTTGATAAACGCCTATAACTTCTAGCTCAGGATGAGCTAGAGTTAGTTCTTTATATGGGGCCTTGGAAATATCTTTCCAACGACGCTGCGTTTGCACGATTTCGATATCGTATGAGGGAGATATGCATTTTGGAAGTTGGATTGTTGAAGAGAGGAAAGTCCAATTTCGATTTTAGTAAGGGCAAACTTGTCTTTCCGCTCATCTATTTTCTAATCCGTTTTAAGGGTTTATTTGGGGTTAAAATAAATTGGAAATTTAGAATAGAAATGTTGTTTACACTTAGGGCTTGGAGAAGAGAAAAGAGAAGAAGGAAAAAAGGGAGAAAAGATCAAGAATTCATCAAGAACGCCAGGATTTTCAAGTGGAATTCGTCGGGGGTGATCAATAATAAGGTATGTGAGTAGATTGATGATGAAAAGTGAAGTTCTTGAAGAACATTATTGAAATCTTGTTGGTTGAGTTGTTGCATGCCTTTAGTTGATTTGATTCGTGTTTTCAGGTTGTTTCTCGAGTTTAATCTATTGGGTATTGAGGTCATTTGTAATCCTAAGTGTTTAGGGAAATATGCATGGAAGTTTAGAAGGTTTAGAGATGAAAAATAGAGAAGAAAAGTTGAAACTCCCGTCTGACAGGCCTTGGGGCGCTGCGTCTGCCAGAGCCCTTCAGGGTAGGTTCTGTCCAACAAGCCCTAGTGCGGCGCACCAGCCAGATCCCCTCAGGACAACCTCTTTCCATCAGGCTCTGGTGTTCCACGCCTCTCAGGGAGCCAAGGACGCATGGATACTCCATTCTTTCCCCATCTTTTCGTACTAGTTCCTAAGTGATATAACCACATTTCTTAGTTGATTCCAACACTCTAAGGTACATCTAAACATCATGAAATTATCCATAAACATGATATCATGAACCTTGAATTCATAATTCAATTCAAGGAAAGTTAAGAGTAAAGTCAAATAAGTTAAGAGTCAAGTCTAAAAGTTAAAAACAAATCAAACTAAGTTCTTAAAAATTTTCAAGAGTCTTAAACAAATATTTTAATTTTGTTTTAAGGATCAAGCTACAAGTTGAGCAAAGAGTAGTGAGTTGAGTTAGAATTCTCAAAAGTTATAAAGGAACTTAGTATTTCCATAAGAGTTAAGTTACAAGTTGAGCAAAGAGTAAAAAATTAAGTTCATTTGTTAAAAGTTATGAGGGGACTAAATATTTACTAAGAGTACAAATGTTTTCACATTTTGAGAAATAAAGGAAGCTAGACTTCTAACAGAGCCTTTGGCTAGTTTTTACTAAAGACAAAACTATGATTTTCAAGAGAGCTTTTAAAAGCTAAGTTTGAATAAACTACCTCAAACCAGAGTAGAAGTTATTTTTAAAACATTGAGCTAAGTATTTTGTGAGTAGTGTTGAGCACTGATATGGGGACGCGAGTTCATATTAACTCAAGCCCCTATAAACCATATAGCCAACATGGACATATAAAGGGTCATACTTTTTAGATGATTCCTTAGTGAGTTTTAGCATAGACTAGTGGATTCACTTAGTTCAAGTCCTATGCCGATGATAAGGTATAGGACGATTGTCTTGCAATGTGAGGTAAGACGTTGTACCATCGCTTAGGCTCATAGTGATGCTTATTGGTTAGAGAATCTGTTATTTGTAGTTTTGATGATTTGACAAACTTAGGGACCTCATAAAGGTACCGGATTTTCTACTTGAGTATTGCAGGTGTATTGTTCAAAGTATTGCAGATGAAACAAAACTCAGGGACCTAATAGAGGTACCAGACTCTCATGATTATGAGCCAGTCAACTGCCAGCTGGAGATGGTGCAGAAAGTAGGTGCACACTTCCCGATGGCGTCAGAAAGTGTGACCCTTCCAACCAATGACAAAGAAGTTTAGGAAAGTGACTTGCCCATATAAAAGGCACTTTCCTAAACACTTTTCTTCAGTTTTTGGAACTTGATAAACACTTTTCAAGAACTCTTGCAAAGACAAATACAAAGCAAAGGCAGAATCATTCCTAGGACAACAGCAACATCTGGAGCTTTTCGTCTAGTTGTTTAGGAATTTATTCTCTTGTTCTTAAATTGTAAACCACTCCTAAATCTATAAAGGAATTGGTGTGTTGTGTTCAAAGTCTAGGTTGTCCAGGTGGGATAGCTTAGTGGGTAGATTGTTTTTCTACTTTGGCTTGTTG